TTTCCAACAGCTTTCCAGAATTTTTCAGAAGTTTAAAGATTTTTGCAGAAATTCTAAGAACGTCGCAGAAGATCTGCAATTTTTCTAGAAATTCCAAGCACATGTCAGAAGTTCAAAGAACATCCCATAAGTTTCGGGAATTACAGAGAATGTAAAATACTTGTTCCAAAAACTATCCAAATATTCCGAGAACTTTCCACATTGCTCTTGATCTTCCCAAAGATTCCAAGAACTTCCCAGAAGTTCCAAGAACTTCCCAGAATTTCCAAGAACGTTACAAAAATTCTGAGAACATCCCACAACATCCGAGTACCTTAGAAGATAGGCGATTATCCCAGAAGATCCCAGAACTTACTAGAAAATCTGAGGACTTCCCAAAAATTCGAAAACTGCCCAGAATTTCCAACAGATTCTAACAAGATACGTACACTTCTAATAAGATTCGAGAACTACCCATAATTTCTGTGAGCTTCTCAGAAGTTCCTTCCAAGAAATGTTCAGAAGATCCTTGAATTTCCCAAAAATTCCGAGAACTTTCCAAAAATTCTGAGAACTTCCCGGAAGATCGGAAAATTTCACAGGAACTTCAAGAACTTCTCAGAAGTTCAGGGAATTTTGCAGAAATTTTGAGATCTTCGCAGAAGATCTGCAATTTTACTAGAAATTGAAAGAACTTTATTATAATTGTCTGGACCTTTCTAAAAATTCCGAAAGCTTTCTAGAAGATCCTAGAACTTCCCAGAAGTTCCAAGACTTTTGAGAATTCCGAAAACTATTGACAGTGTTTGAGATTTTTGGTTTTTCAGAATATCTGAGAAGTTATCGGAATATCTTGGCATTTTTGGGGAGTTCTTAGATTTTTTGAGAAACTAACATATCGTGGATAAAGGCCGGGTTCTTCTCCACACTCATCGGTCATTCTTCAGGTCGAGGGCTTGTTCTATAGCGAATTATGTGATCTTGATTGCTGGAGGGAGATTCTTCTTCTGATCCCGGTGGGTTTCGTGTGGGCGTTTTTGGCCCTTCGTGCAGCTTTCAACTGAATATGATTTGTCAGTGGGACTTGATCAAGTCGTCCTGATTGGGTTACCCATTGCTATGTGCTCAATCATCATTCTTGGATTTTTTTTTTGTGGAATACTCTAAATTTCTGGAGAGTTTTAGATTGGAATATCTGGAATGTTCTCGGATCTTGTGGAATGATCTAAAATTAAAAAAAAAAACCTTCGGTTGTGGAAAGCTCTACTGACTCACAATGAATATATGTTGTATCGGAAGAAACATGAGCTGGTCTAATTTTGCATTGCAAATGCTATGTTAAATTAGACGAAATATACGTTATTCACTGGAACCTCCATTTACGAACCAAACTAGGGGTTAGTAAATCGAAACAGTTATTTGGGATGTGTATAGGGACTGGAAATGTATGTATGATTCCATTTTGAAGTCCAAGATTGCGGTTTCCGGTTAAAGAAAAAGAGGAAAATACTGTCAAATATTTCACAATATGTGTATGTTTGGAATCGGGTCGACGTGTAAAAACAAGAAATCCATGCCTGTCGTCATTTGTAAATCCAATATGGCGGCTTCTGGTTAGGGGAATAGTAAGAGGTTGTATCCAAGATACGACCGTAGAATTGACGTAGGATTACGTGTTCAGTATCAATGTTCGGCGACTGTGTAAGGGAAAACACTTTTTCCCATCATGGAAACGTCTCGTTTTCTGATGACAAAATCACGCATTTTCGTGCAAAAAACGCACAGAATTTTTGGTTTATTCTATAGATAATACAAAAAGCAAAAATGGTTGAAGGAATAAAATTGCTAAAATTTTCCATTCGCAAGATATTCGCGATCGATCATATAAATTCGGTCATCGCGAGAATTTTTATGATCCACTTCAATACTGTTACGCATTTGACCACAAACGTTCTGTTGCTAGGGTGCATTATCAATGAATTTTTTGGGGGTGTTGTGGTTGGCAGCAAGGCGAACGAACGTTCAATGAAAAATAACTCTTGAACAACACGTTTTGTCGTGATGGTAGAGTAGTTCTGAGTTATTAAGGTGTTCAACACGGATGAGGCTGGCATAGATGGCCCACAGCGACTCACGAAGAGCTACTGAATCCGATCAGTAGCGGTGCGGCTTCTTCCTGCTTCTTCGGTGAATCGAGGGTTCTTGAGGGCAGCCTTGATAGCTAGCTGCTTGCGGGGAGCCATTTGTTGTGTACTGGAGAAAAATGTACAATGCCACGCATCGAAAAGCACTGCTACTGCTGATGATGACGACCAACCGGACACCACCACACACGGTGATTGAATAAGCACGGTTTGGAGAGACCGGATGCGATTTGAATATTAAATCTGTGTTAGGGAAAGCGCTTTTTGCAGGCAATCGGTGATAATTTTAATCACGATTGCAACAGTTGGACTATTGTGTAATTTTCGATAGTGACCTATTGCAAATTGATAAAGTGTTCATTTTAGCAAATCCATAGAAAAATTTCCAATCGATTGGTTTGTTTAGAATTAAAATCCATCTGCTATTGAAAGAGTTATAAGTATGCAAAACCTGACTGACTTTTCGTAACGCGGTTGATTTTGGTTTTTTGAAATTACACTCCCAATATGTTGCCGAAAGACGTAATCCTACGTCAAAACTGAGAAATACTGTCAAATACCCCACAATATGGGAATTTTTTAAATCGGAGTGATGTTTAGGGCCCACAAATCCATCTCTGACTCCACATTTGGAAATCAAAGATGGAGGCTTCCAGTGGGAAAGCATTTACTCGTCATCACCGTTCCAAAAATATTCATATTTTAGAGTAGTTGGCAGTTTTTCATAAACCGGAAGGCACCATTTTGGATTCCAAGATGGCTTCAAACATTGATTTCCGACCTCTTCACGTCGTCCTAATTCCGAAAATACCCATATTGTTGGGTCCCTCCGAAGATGAACCAGCGCCTGGCTGAAAATCTCCTTAATAAAGACCACCAAAAACCAATCAATATTGATGGGTATTTTACAGTTTTCCACAAACCGGAAGACACCATTTTGGATTCCAGAATGACTTCAAACATCGATTCCCAGCCTCTACACGTCGTCCCTGTTCTGAAAATAAACATACTGTTGTGTATTTGTTATAGTTCAGTGAACGTTCTACTTCATCCAAGTGCAGAGAATTTTGTAGAAGTTCAAACAACTGCATAAAAGTTTGGCACACTCTATAGCAGTGTTGGGAAAATATCAAAAAATCAAATATCGCCAAAGAACAAGATCACGCTTGATTTTCGTAGACAAAATTCAACAACCAAACAACTGCATTTGATATTGCAAGCTGTTATATCGCAGCTCGGAATATCGAGCAAACTAAACTCATCAGCTGCAAATCTCACCAAATTGTGGTGAGATTGAGTTTCAAAATTTTTGCTTTACACCCGAGCGCAACCGAAACATCCATAACGACTCGCAGCAGTCGCTTCGTGTCTGTCATCTCTTTCTAAGAAAAGAAGGTGCAATGGAATCATTTTTGCGTCGATTCAACTATCAGCTTAAACTTTACACGTTGTTAATAGTCTCGCAATATCAAAGATGCTTGTAAAATCAATATCAAGCATGATATTAAGAGCGTATGAAAGCGGAAAAATATCAATTTGTTCATGATTATGCCATCACTGCTCTGTAGAAACTCCTCATCGCAATGCGTAAAAGTTCTTGGAGGCTTATGAAATTCCGAAAAAGCTAAGCAAACTTTTTAGAACTTCAGGGATTTTCGTATTAATTTAGGGAACGTCGTAGTTTGTTAGATATCTTACTTCAAAAACTCTAAATAAACTTCTAACGAAATACTGGGATCTTCGTTTAATGTCAGCGAACTTCCCGGGAATGTTTGTAGAAAAGGTTAAGTTTCTTCCCGAAAGCTTGAAGAAGTTCATAGATGTTCTGATATCTTGGTAGTATTAAGCGAGGTTGAAAAATAACTGGGAAGAAGTTCAGGGATCGCTGTTGAAGTTGAGGAAATTGTGAACAAGTTAAGGGAATTTTGTAGCTGTTTAGGAAACGTTGAATAAGTTTTGGGAAATTCGTGCAAGTTCAGCAAAACTTCCTTGAAGTTCAGAAAACATTCCTGAGCTATGGAAAAGCGAATATCAAAGAAATCCTCAAGATTTTCAAGACTTCAGGTTGGTAAAGTATTATTCTGAAGATCTGCAACTGTTCAAAAATGCACATGTCGTTTCTAAGATATTCTTCAAAAACAGTAGGTTAATCAGAAAGTATTTTAAGATCTCCAGCTGATCGATTTCAGTCCTCTTTAAATACTTCAGGTTGATCACGTATTGTTCTGGAGATCTTCAAATGTTTAAAAAATATGAATATTTAATGTCTATTGTATATTATCACCAGGTTGCTGGTTAATCAGATATATTTTTTAATTATTTAAAAGAATTTTTATCTTAGAATTTACATCAAGACCCATGGTTAATTTTCCATGACTTCAGCTTGATCAAGATGAAGATCTAAAAATTGATGAAAATCTCAAGCTGTTCAAAAATTCAAATCACATTTCTCTGACATTGTCTTAAGAGGAGTGTGTGGGAGCACTTACAAGATCTCCAGCTGATCGAAGATTTCAATAATGGCCTCTGGGTATTTATCAAGATCTCAAGTTGAACAAGTATAATTCTGAAAATCTTAATATTCTTTGGATGTCTTCGTAAATTTCAACATGTCTTCATTAATCTTCCAAAGCATGAAATGACATCAAAATGTTTTCACAGAATGCCATCTCTGCATCTGAGTTTGTATTATTAAATAACAAGCCAATTGCTTTTAGTTCCACATTCAGTAACTGTTAATTGTTAATCTTGATTCCTAGTAAACTCTATAAATCTACAAATCTAGGCACTTTATTCGACAAGTTTGCTTCGTACGTGCCAGCATGCATGCATTTCCAGAAAATCCACATAGAACTACACCCCCGCAATAATCCTTACCGAATATTCGGCCCCGAACTCCGACTCCATCCGGCTGAGCCGTCGCAGTTCCCACGACAGATGGAAGGCGGTCGAGATGGGATCCTTGGAGCTGAGTGCAATCAACGAACTGGACGACAGTGCTTTGTAGGCGTTGATGCGTGACTGGGAATGGCGGAGGGAGTCCTGCTCGCTCGATGTTACACACTCGTCGCATCCGCAGCTGTGAAATATAAGGTGATTCGCAGTAGTTAGTCAGGAGCACTATTATCGCAATGTGTGTTTATCTATTGGTAGCAGAAATGTGAATCGATTTTATAACTCCCAACTCGTGACCATGCATTTTAAAGGTGTCGTCTCCTTCGAACGGAGTGTGAACTAAAATAGTGCCACACGCCACCGCCAGCTGATCTCGAGGAATTAGCACGTACAGCTAATAAATATACAGAAGCAACAGCTCCGGAGGCGATTACATAAATCAATTTACGTGATTTCCTCCCGGTTGTGGCTCTTCCATTTTCCAGCATGCCACGCCGGTTTCCGAAAGTCCTCAAGGTGACAACCGGACTCTATTCTTACGAACACTTACCGAACGTCGTGCGGCATCGGAAGAGTTGCTCCTCGATCCAGAAGAATCTTCAGGATTTCGTAGTTGTTTTTGTGGGCTGCCAAAATGAGCGGGGTGATATCGGCGGTGAAGGAGGACGATGAACGATCCACGGCTTCCCAGCTCTAAGGGAGAGAACAGTCTTAGAGTTCATTACCAACTAGAACTAGATTTGAAACTCACGTAGGGATCACCGGGAATATGATTTTCCTCCTCCCATAAGAGCAGAGTTTCCACCGCTTCCACGTACTCTTCCTTGATGGCATGCAGCAGTGCATCCTTTGTGCGGCGCGGGAGGGAATATGATAAATAAGACATTAGCAAACACCACCGGCAGTGCACCGGTGTGTGTGGTGCATCATAAAACGATTTAATCAAATAGCCAAGCCGACACGTGGAGTCGTAAAAATCTATACTTGCATCGGAAACGCATTATTACCTGAACTTTGATTCCCTCCGTTAGTAGCAACCGGATGAGTTCGATGTTTTCATTCTCGATGGCGGCAATTAAAGCGGAACGGTTCAGCGGATCCACGCAGTTGATGTCAAACTCGTCCGGGTCGTTCTTGTTATCCAGGATGATCCTGTGGGATAAAGGAATAAGTTGGAAAGAAGGATTATTGTAATACTGTACGATAATTCCAGAATTCAAGACCGAATGCTATTTGAAAACTACCCAAAATTTCAGTAGAATAGCATTGAACCTACCGAAAATGGGTAAACTAAGATGAGAGAGACGTGTTGACAAATGAAGAACATTGATCGGGTTCAGACCAATTGTATTGGTAATGGCGAACGTTATAGTTTATTTCGCAGTGCTGTGATAAATATTCAATTAATTAAGTGTGAAATTGTGCTTGTGCCGCGGTAGAATTGATCCTACGCGTGCCCCGTAGTGATAATTTATTGGATAAGTAGGAGAACGGTTGCTGTTGCCGCTGGTTCTCGTTCATTTTTTGTATTTTCCTTCGCCCGGCAAGCTAATTGGTACCCTTTTAGTAAGCTAGTGCATTGTAAATTTTTGCTTTCGTTCGTTTTTACTTGTGTCTCTGTAGTGTTGCATGTAAAGTTTATGTGTATAGGTGATATATATGGCTGAGTGTGCAATATGTAATTTGGGGATTTTGGTAAGTGATTTGCCGGTCATCTGTGTGGGTAAGTGTGCTCGTGTATTTCATTGCAAGTGCACTACACTCACGCGGACTCAGGCAAAACTTATCACAGATAATGCAAATGTTCTATTCAAGTGTAGTAATTGTCTGGCAGATCAGAGTTGTGACGAGCAGAATGTATCGGTTTCGGATACCAAAATGCTGGGGGAAGCAATGAAGCAATTGTCTTCTGTTGCTGACTCTATCACTGGTATACGAAACAACGTTGCTGCTCAGATAGACAACGCGTTGAGAATTGGCATGGAAAAAATGCAACAAAATATGAACGATTCTTTAAGTTGCTTTGAAAAATTAATTAGTGAGAAATGGAATACGATGACTAGTTCATGTTTTGAAATTAGTACGGAAAAAAATTTAGCTGCAACGAATGGTGCATCTAGGACGGTTCATTCTGAATCGGACCGAAATCCCAGACGCAAAAAACGTAAATTTCAAAATAGTGACAACGATTCGACTGATGATGTTTTTCAAGAAAATGCGAGTTTTGCGGATGTTGTAAAAAGATCTAGTCATGCAAGTAAAAGTAAAAATATTAGTAACAGTAATAGTAACATTAACAGTAACAGTAACATTAACAGTAACAGTAACAAACAGAGTAATCGTAAGACTCGTCCGGTCATTGTGATCAAACCAAAAGAGTCCAAACAAGCTTGCGAAGATACTCGTAAGTTTTTGAAAACTCAGTTGGATCCAAAAACACACAAAATCAGTAATTTTAGGAATGGTAAAGATGGCTCTATTATTGTTGAGTGTGCAACAGGAGCTAATCTTAATGATGTAAAAACTGGTATTGAAAGCAATCTGGGTGAACAATATAGTGCTGTTGTTCCCACTTCGGTGCCAAGATTGAAAATAGTGGGCATGAGCGATCAGTTTTCCTCCGATGTCTTCATTGACTACTTAAAAAGTCAAAATGAAGACATCGCTATAAATGATGTTAAAGTAGTGAACATGTTTGAAAATCCACGCTTCACTTATAACAAGTTTAGTGTTGTAATTGAAGTCGATGTCGATACTTATAAATGTTTGTTATGTGCGAAAAAAGTAAATGTAGGGTTTGATCGGTGCTCGATAGTTCCCGCGATTAATGTGTTGAGATGCTTCAAATGTGGAGAATTTGGGCACAAGAGCATGGATTGCAAAAATTGTGATAGATGCTCTAGGTGCAGCCAACAACACAAAACGTCGGAGTGTACGTCAACTGTATTGAAATGTATTAATTGTTTGAAAACGAATAAAGAACGAAAAATGAACTTGGACGTCAACCATGCCGCATTTAGCTCGGAATGTTTGCTCTATAAAAGACTTTTTGATCAGAAGAAAAGCAGCTTGCGTTTCAATAAATAGCAGCCAAGTTCCAGGAATGTGAATCAATTCGATTTTTTATACTTGAATATTGCGGGGTTGTCAACAAACTACGTAGCATTACGTCAGATTGTTGAGGAAAAACGTCCTCTTTTAGTTTTCTTATCTGAAACTCATATTGTAGAAACTGAAGCTTTTGATCAGTATAGTATTCCGGGATATATTGTTGCTGCTTGTTTATCACATTCTAGACACACTGGCGGTGTTGCTATTTATGTCAAAGAATCAGTTCAATTCAACCTTCGTACCAACGAAGTTATTGATGGCAACTGGTTCTTGGGCATTACAGTTGTACGTGGCATGAAGATGGGTAATTATGGTGTTTTGTATCATTCTCCCAGTTCTAGTGACCAGCGTTTTGTTGAAGTTTTAGAGAACTGGTTTGAGACATTCCTTGATTCTAGTAAATTAAATATATTGGCTGGTGATTTTAATATTAATTGGCGTGATAACCATAATTCGAATCATTTGAAGCGTTTAGCTGAGTTTTTTAATTTAAAGCAAACGGTAAATGAGTATACGCGTATTTCCAGGCACAGTAGAACTTTAATTGACCACGTTTATTCCAATTTTGATTCCATTTGTTCAGTTACGGATACTGATTTGAAAATAACCGATCATGAGACTTTAGTGATTAATGTCTTAGACCATGTTAACGATAACGATAATTTTGTAAAATTGAAGTGCTGGAGGAAATATTCGAAGCAAGTTGTTTCGAATCTTGTTGAGAGAAGCCTGGATTTTCCATTCGCGGCCGGTAACTTAGATGAATCTACAGCTGTTCTTAATAACGCTTTGAAAACGTGTACCAATCAACTAGTTGAGCAAAAGTTTGTTTCTTTGAAAAACTCGAACAGCTGGTACAATTTGGATCTTTTGCGTCTTAAACGGAAAAGGGACAAATTGTACAAAAAGTTTTGTAGATCTAATAATGACAATCATTGGACTAGGTACACAATCGCGCGTAATAAGTATTCACAATCGATAAAGAAAACTCGTTGTGAATATGTTCAAAGGAAGATTGATCAGCATCAAAACAACAGCAAAGAGTTATGGAAAATTTTGAAATCTTTATTAAAACCTAGTAATTGCAAACCGCGGTCCATAACTTTTAATGGCACATTAGAACAGTCAGAACAAGTAATTGCAGCTAAGTTTAATGATTATTTCGTAGATAGCGTTTCATTGATTAATCAATCTATTGAATTGGTCGATGAACCTGACGAAATAAAACAGCCAGTTAATAGTAGTTGTAGATTTGAAGTTTTTCACCCAATCACATTAGATGAACTTAGAGTTATTTGTTTTTCATTAGGAAAATCGGCTGGAGTAGATAATGTTAATGCTAGAGTTATTCAAGATTGCTTTCATGTCATTGGCCACATCTTGCTGGACCTTATTAATGAATCATTACAAACTGGACATGTGCCACAAATTTGGAAGGAATCCTTAGTGGTCCCTATTCAAAAAGTTGCTGGAACGATTAAAGCCGAAGAGTTTCGTCCCATCAACATGTTGCACACATTAGAGAAAATTTTAGAACTTGTTGTTAAAGGTCAGCTGTTGGAGTATTTAAATAGTAATAGTTTGTTGATACCAGAACAATCGGGATATCGGGAAGGTCATTCTTGTGAAACCGCGTTGAATTTGGTATTAGCGAAGTGGAAAAATAACTTGGAGTGTAAAGATACGATTGTTGCTGTTTTTTTGGATCTTAAACGCGCTTTTGAAACAATTTCTAGGCCCTTATTGTTAAGATCAATCAAGCGCTTTGGAATTACGAGTACTGCATATAAATGGTTTGAAAGCTATTTGTCTGACAGAACTCAACGGACTGTTTTTAATGATTCTGTTTCCAGTCCCGTGGGGAATAACCTTGGAGTGCCCCAGGGAAGTGTATTAGGGCCCCTGTTATTTATTATGTATATTAATGACTTGCGACGTGTTTTACGATTTTGCGACATTAATCTTTTTGCAGATGATACTGTGTTATTCATTGCAGCTAAGGATTTAGATGATGCCGTTTTACACTTGAATGAAGATTTGCGTTCTCTAAGTAGATGGTTGAAGTATAAGCAGTTAAAATTGAATACAAGTAAAACTAAATTTATGGTAATTTCGCGGAATCGAGTAAATGAGAACGTCTCTGTCGTAATTGATGATGAGGCTCTTGATCGCGTTCGGGAGATTAAATATCTTGGCGTGATTATTGATGACACACTTAAGTTCAACTCTCACATTGACAATGTCATCAAGAAAATTGCCAAAAAGTATGGAATTCTATGTCGACTGAAAAACGATTTAACTATTGCCAGTAAAATACAGCTATACAAATCAATCATCTCTCCTCATCTTGACTTTTGCCCTTCCATTTTATTTCTGGCCAATGCAACACAAATATCGAGATTACAGCGCTTGCAGAATAAAATAATGCGTTTGATTTTGAGATGTAATAGATTCACTTCCTCAACTTTGATGTTAGACGCCTTACAATGGTTGTCGGTGAAGCAAAGAATTGTATATTTGACTATGGTGTTCATTTTTAAAGTAGTTAACGGTTTGCTGCCTCGATATTTGTGTGATCGAATTGAAAGAGGAAGTGACTTTCATAGATATAATACTAGAAACGCGGTTGAAATAAGAACACCACATTTCTTGACTTGTGCTTCACAAAATTCATTATATTATAAAGGAATAAATGTTTTCAATTCGATGCCTAGACATATCAAACGTTTAGCAACACTTACAGAATTTAAAAGACACTGCATTTCACACGTTAAAACTGTCTTTTGAACAGTTATCCAGTGATTTTTTTATGAATTGACAAATTATGTATCTTGACGAAGTTATCTCTAACGGATTATTTTATATGGATAGCTGTCATAACGACTTTTTAATAATTATTGTAGCACTGCAAAAACTATTTCTGTTCGCCACGAGGGTGATGATGGATTTTTAATATTTGATTTTATAGTAGATTAATTAAAAAAAAAAGTAGTCTACAAAGGTTTGAGCCTCGCGCGCGTATTACGGATATAGAGGACTGA